TTTTTTTTTGGCCCCGGGGATCGAACTCGGGACCTTGCGCTTACGAGGCAGGCGCCGGAACCACTGAGCTAAATCCCCGGCTCCAGTGCGTTTTTGAAGGTCCTGTCCTTACCACTTCTGGGTCCGGGTTAGAACCAGAATAAAAAATCCAAATCTTTTTCTTGTTCTTCCTCTGCTCTTTTGGTGCAGTGGATTGTACCCAGGCAAGAGCTCCACCTCTGAGCTCCACATACTCGGCCCTTTGTCATTTTGAGGCACAGAGTCGCTAAATGGCCCAGACTGATCCTCCTGCCACAGCCACCCAAATAGTTTATGGACTCAGCCACATCGTCTATCTTCATCTCAGGCTTAGACTTCCCTTGAGCTCCAGACCCACATTTAAAAGGCCATTAAGGACGATTCTTGGGCATCTCCTATTGAATACATCCAGATTTGTGCACAGCTTCTCCCTGAAATGTGCCTTTCCCCTCTACTTGGTCAGCAGCTGACCCTACCTACACTGGCCACTAAGGATAGGGGGTTTCTTCTCTGTCCCCTCCACACCCTCCATCAGCCCTGGGACCCATGGAGTATATATGAGAAGTCTAACCAGAGTTTTCGCTTCTTACAGCCAAATCCACCAGACCTCTGGTGCCACCTTTCCCCGAACAAAGGAGGTGGCAGGCACTTTCTCCTGTCAGGAGGTCTGGGAGCAAGATGGAGACAACTAAAGGGACAGGATCTGCTCTGTGCATCTGGCCTAAGGGTGCAGCCGGAGACTCAGATACACCTGGGCTCCAGTCCCCATTCTGCTCCCTGCCTGACTTACAAAATGAACCTGTACTTTAAAATACATATGATGCGCCCTTTTTCAAAGAGGACGAGTACTATCTCAGGGGCAATTAGACCAAAATTATCCCCACCATATTATGCTAATAACCAAGGTTCACATTTTATACATTTATTTGTATTTTTAAAAAAATATACTGGGTGAAAAAAAAAAAAATATATATATATATAGGGTCCTCCTCTGGGCCAGAATCAGTCAAGAGAAATTTAAAACAAACAGAAAAACAAGACAAACAACCACAAAAATTCCACATGGCCTCAGCCCTCACAATGGGGACTCCAGGCACTGGGAGAAAACAGGCTCTGCTGGAAGAACATTCAATGCCAAGGAGTCCAGAGAAGGATGGTGGGCCTTAGGTGGCCCAGGGATCAAGGAGCCTCAAGGGGCTAGGACTAGGATACAGAGGAGCATGTGCCATTGACTGCCCCTCCACCCTCCACCCCCACCACCATGAATGCCAGGGCTTAGACCACAGGGTAGGATTGAAGCCAGTGTTCAGGCGTGAACAGTACATCCAAAAGCCTGACTGAAGAACTGAGCTTCCTCTCAAGAAGACAGTCTTGAAGAAACTGTCACTGGGCACATTGTGTCAGGTCCTGATGATAAAGATGGCCCTGCAACCACACCTAGAATCAGGCTTCTTAGCAGTTCAACCCCAGCCCCCCAGTTCCAGGTGAAAGTTATGCCAGACAGATCCCAGTCCCCTCTGCAGGCTCAGGACATATATTCAGTGTGTCCCCGTAGAGTACAAGCTGGCATGTTTGGTGGGCCTCACCTGCAGTTCTGCTCCCACTGAGCCCCATGGCGCCTGACGCATGGGCGTGAGGCTGCCTTCTGGAAGGGTCCACTTCTGGACCAACATTCTCTCCTGAGCCTGGCCCTCTTCAAGTCTTCAGGGAAAGCTGAGTCCAGGTATGGGAAGCCCCTCCAGGCAAAGCAGTGGGCCTCTATTTCTCCAAAAGCCCTGGAATCTCTAGTTTACCTGGGGTGCCCATGGGGAAAGATCTACAAACCACAGCCTTTCTGAATCTGGAGGCTCTGCCTTCACTTGTCCGGTCATGAGTGGATGGGCAACCTAGGGAATGATCCCAAGGATCTACTTGAACCACTGATGGAGGACCCAGTCCAGCTTTGCACCCAAGCCTAACTGGTCCAAGCACTTACCCTCTGGGGATCTCAGCTTTCATTGCAAGGAAGTGGAGTAAGGCAGCAACCCTCTTCCCCCAAGCACTGTGGACAGCGGGCAGCGCCTGACCGATGCCCTTTCATCATTGCACTGCTTCCCAGTGGCCCACAGTAGTGCAACAGGGAAAGAGTGTCGGGCAGGCCTGCTAGTGCCTCTCAGTGTGGTGGTAATGTTGGTGGTCGTGGTGGGTGGGATTACAGACCTGGAAGGCAGGGCCACTGGACCAGGGCCTCAGCATGGGGGAAGGGTGCCCTCTGACCTCAGAGGCCCAGTCCTGGTTAGAATCTCAAGTTTCCATGGAGAAGGAGTGAACTGGGCAGGGGGAGGGGGAGGGCCTGCAAGCCTAAGGGGACCATCCTGGAAAGAGGAAAGAAGGCTTGTGGGTGAGGGACATCCCCAAGGCTGGCCCCAGATGCTTTGACAATATCATTGCACTGCTTCTCAGAGCACAGTAGTGCAACCTCGTCAGAGCACCTGCAACCAACAGAGGTGGGAGTGAAGGGTGGCCCTCCATACAAGCAGGGCGGGAACCTCAACCACGGATGGGTGGGTGGGGCCAGAGCCTCAGTTCACTACATAGCAGGAGAAGGGGATCGCGGCGAGGCTGCAGTCCTGGGGGGTCTTCAGAAGCTCAGGGTACCCAAGCCTTCTGCATTGCGCTTCAGGTTGTGCAGGAGGAGAGACTCCAGCCCAGGAGCGAAAGCTGACTGGTCAGACGGGGGAGGGGGCGCGCACACAAAGGAGAGGGCCCGCACTCAGCGCAGTCCGAAGCTGGCTCACACTCGAGCTCGGGAAGCACAGCCCGAAGACCCTGCGCCCTGACTCGGCCTGCTCCTCTGGGAGAAGAAAGGTGGCCCCACTCCGGGACGATGTGCCCCTTCCGGCTCGGGACCCCATCCCTGGTCCCTGATCCTTTGCATGTCCCCCGTCCCCCATCCCCCGTCCTAGCAGATTCTTCTGCCAGGGGCCCAGAGCTGAGCAGAAGAAAGGGGGGCTTCCCGCCCTTCTGGAGTTCCCTGCCCAGAGAGGACGCTCGGGTCCTCTTAAGCCCCTCCACGCTCCAGTCCTTGGGATTGTCTGCCGCTGCTCCCCTCCCCCCCGCCCCGGTCCAGCTACTCACGAAAACGGACACCTCTCTGCCCAGGGAGAGGGCAAGACGCAGGTGAGCGTGGGGTTCCTACCCGAGCGACCCAGCACCTCGTGGCGTCCTCCTGGCCGCCGGCTCCATTTTAACCCGCTGACAGTCGGAGGGCAGAGCCCCTGATCCTCAGCACAGCACTGCGCTCATTGGCCGGCGCGGGTTGGGTCTTCGCCTCTCGCGAGTCTATTGGCTGCTCCCGGAGAGATTTCAAAATAGCCTCCAGGCTCCGATTGGCCCGGCGCCGCCCGAGTCTCGGGCTCCGCGGTTTTAACAATGAGTTCTACAAATACTTTCTCCCCATTCATAACTTATCAAAAGGAACTTTGCCCGCCTTTTCTTAGCTCCGGTCTCTGAAAGTTTTCTAGCGGTACCGGCGAGAGGGCTGGGAAGGCCAGTGGGAAGTGTCCTCCTGGTGACTGAGCCCATCCGAGAGGGGGCTGCGACCCCTGGGAAATATGGAACCTCGGGCCGAGCCTGCCCGTTGAATGGGGTCTCAGGTTCCTTTCTTTGTATTGTGTGTTGTGATTGCTCTTGGCGCTTCCTGGATGTAATATTAATTCGGACACGGCGGCCGGCACCGAGAGCAGTAACACCCCTTTCCGCCCAACCTCAACGTACCGAATGGGCCTCGCCTGAAACCTCCCAGGGAGGTTTGCTATGAGGCCTGGGTACTGAGGCCCCTATGGCCTTGTGGATCTGTATGAGGTACGGGGAAGGGATGCTTAGGTCCTTGCGTGATTGCAATCCACTTTGTGGATGAGCATTCATTAAGTGCCTATCCTGGGCAGCTGAGCAGGCAGTGTATTTGTCGCCCCACCCTCGCATAGCTCCAATGAAGTGTGTGTGTTGGGAGACACTTAGAACATCTGTGGCCTCTTCTATTTTATTCTCAGTCCAAGTGGTGAGAGGAATGTTTTTGAGGTAAGCAGAGTTGGCTGAAAATCTTTATGAACCTTGATTGTCTTCTCTGAAAAATTGAGATGATAATAGAACATACTTCAGAGTTGTTGCCAGGAGCAAATGAGATGCTGTGTAAGTCTTTCACCCAATGCTTGGCACGTAGTGTTCAATAAATGGGAGATTTGTTACTGCTCATATTTTTATTTAATTTAATTAATTTATTTTTGGTACCAGGGATTGAACTTGGGTCCTTGCACCTGCGCAGCAGGCAGCGAAACCACTGAGCTAAATCCCCAGCCCACATATTTTTATTTTTGATCTTGTCCAGCATGTCTGCTCCCAAGACATTTGGTCTGATTGCCCATGGATTCCTATCTGGTGTGCACCATTAGTATGCCTCACTTCACTGATTTCCACATATGCACACACAAGTGTGTGTATGTGTGCATCCAGACCAGAGGATTTGCAGGGTATGTCCACTGTTAGTGGTCCCCACACCCCCTTGCTGGCCTTATTCTGGCTGCTGGAGTCCCTGACCCAACAATGCACACATGGGGTGTGTAGGAAGTGCTAGTGAGTAACTGTCCCCACTTACCCAGCAGCCCTCCACTGATGAGGAAAGATGTTTTAATGGGTAAATGCCCTGGCTTCCTTGCTTTCAGGTAAGGTAACTTTGGGGTTTTTTTTGGTACCGGGGATCAAACTCGGGTCCTTGCACTTGCGGAGCAGGTGGTGGAACCACTGAGCTAAATACCCGGTCAGAGATAAC